AGCCATATAAACAGAAGAACAAAAGGGAGGTGAGGGGGCTACTGTTTGGGGAAGCTGTGACCTGTAAGGACCTAAAGAGAGTCCAGCACTAGCTTTCCTGCTGGAGAAGTAGCTGGAGTCATGCTAACAAAACAAAGTGAGGATGTGTTCTCCAAGTATCTGAACAGTGTTGTAAGGCCCCTGCTGCCCTGAATACTGCTTGAGAGTGGGAAGTTTGAAGGTTTTGTAAAATACTTTTGTATTCTTCTCCACTCTACCCTCAACAGTTCAACACATACTTTTACATTTTTGCTGCTGCATGCCACTCAGGCTTTTGTGGACACCTACGCAAGTCTCATGGACTAATAGTAATTTTCCACCATTTTTTTATTGTGCCTTTCAGTTGTGTTTGTTTCTGTGCATGCACAGTGAAAACTATTTTTTCTATCTATTCTACTGTGTAGTGGAGTGATAGGAGCTGCAATACCCTTTCTGGGATGCTATGAAATTAAATTAAATTCACCTCAATGATTTCCTGTTCTCTGTCTCCCAAGTGATGGCAATCTTGCCTTGATATTGAGATAGCCTTCTTAATCTGAAAAGTAAAGTATATCAAAATGTTTTCTGCATAAAAAGATGTTACAGTGTTTTGAGTAACTGAAAGTAGGGTAACTCCCTGGGGAGTATGTGTTAGAGGGCTCCTGTGTGCTTGACCTAGAAAGGGCAAGATTCTTTCACATCCTCAGTATAGCCTTCCCTCTTTAACTCATGTTGCAGCCATTCATGGGTTTAACTCTGGAGGTGCTGGTGTAGTTCCCCAGTGTGTTGGTCAAGATGCCAGTTGTCATAGTATCGTCTTTGTAACAGGCTTTTTATGAATTGTGAGGCACTTTGATCTTCAAACCACAAAACAGGTGTTGACCATGAGTCAAGGATTCTAATTACTTACCTGCATGTGCCATTCTAGCCAAGTCAGGAAGATGGTGGCTGGGTTGAAGTGGCAAGGACACAGTTTCCCCTCATTAAGGTTTTAATTGCACAATAGTGTTTTTGCCTTTTTCCTTAGACTATTGATAGGGAACCACCCCCCTATTGGCTCTACATGCATATGCCAAACCTGGAAATAGGTTGTGGAGATGCTGCAGGGTCACCCTGGGGGCCACACTCAATCTTGGCAGACACTAAGTTTTTGAGAACTGCTGCCGGCGATGACCTTTGGAGCATTTTTGCTGGTTTGGCTTTTCTGCACCTGCTATATATGAAGGGACAGAGAGATGGGGCATACTTGTAGCCATCCAGTTGGGGCACACCGCTGCTGTGATGCCCTTGGTGAGAAACTGACACTAGATTATTTTTCCCACTATGAAAAACATGATGGTAATGACAGCATGATACAATTAAGCCCTAAATAAAAACTTTATTGATTTTTTAAAAAAAATGTCTTAAACTAATTTTCTTTCCCCTTGTTCTAAATGAATGTCTCCTTCCTTTCTTAAGGGATTTAAGGACAATGTCTATCGACAGAGAAGAAAGTATTTTGTGGATGTTGCCATGAGCCATAAATAGTAAGTACTGGTATAATTCTTTCCTGTGCCGCTGACTAGTTAGAATTCATGTTCCACTTAATTCTGTTAGGATGAAGTTTTGCAGTAGACAAAAGTGAGCCATTAAACTTTGACCATTTTAGTGTAGGCTATAAATGACAAACCTGAAGCAGAAGCTTGAAATCATATCATAATTGCAGTGTAATAGCAGGCAAGTGTGGATTTTTGCGGCTAAGTGCTACACTTTCACTGTGATGTTCATACCTTACACAAAGTAAGAAGCTGTTTTTCAAAGTATTTACATACTGTATAATGTATTTCTGTATTGCAGACATCCTTGGGTTAGAAACCTGGCCTTTTAATACCAAAACTTGTCTTTACTGCTTGAGCCAAAGAAGATTATCTTTTATAAGCAGAATGTTTATACATGTTCTGGAACATGCTGCCTCATTAATGGTGAATGCATTATATGCTTTCTCCGCCCATTTTTGACAAATCTCATCCCTATTACAAGAGTTCAAATTCTCTAATTCATTCAGCTTCTGGGCTGCAAAAAACATGCACATTTTTGATTGAATTGTACACTGTTTATAGTTCTAGGGAGACTTGTTGCTCAAAATGCTTCTTACAATGAGCAAGAGCCAACAGAGGTATCCTTAGCTGGTGGTAGAAGTAGCTGATGCTGTAGTGCTGGCACACAGTTGTTGGAGGAAAAAGTAAGAACTGAAGGAAAACCTGACATTACACCTGTAACCAGTTAACGAGTCCTATATAGTCTGCTATAATTGGAGGAATCGGGGCCTCATGGGTGAACTGAGGAAATGAGGACATAAAGGTTGGGTGGGCGGGTACGGGGGGTGTATGTGTATGAAACAGTATCCACAAATTCCTTTAAAAAACAGTAAGGTATGATTCCAGAGAGGTGAAACCCAATTGATCTGGTAATGAACTTAGAGAAAACTAATATGCAAACCAGTGAGGGCCAACTTTTCTGACACATGTGCCACAACTAAGCCCCACACATTTCTGGAGTGCCGCACGGTTCCACTTCCCCTGTCTAATCTGCTGCTCTGCTTTCTGCTCCCTGACCTTTTCACTGCTGTTCTCCCTGCTCCCTCCCAGATCTGCTGCATGCCACACACACAGGCTGCCCGTGCCATTTGTGGCACAAGTACTGTGGGGTTGCCACTCCTGATGTAAAAGTTATACTATATTTTTACAGGTTAAAGTCCAAATAATCTGGGTAAAGGAAAAGTATGTGGCTGCTCAGAGTATCATAAGGTACATCAGAAGTATTTACAGTGCACATGAAAACTCTATACAACTGTGCATCTGAGACAGTCAAGCCCTTTATGACTTTTCCCTAGTAGGTGATAAGTAACAGGAGCATCTGTCACTTTAAAAAAAAATTGTAGAGCCACAGAATTTTGGTTCATGAAGAAATGTTTTTGTTGGCTTAGTCCTGCTCCTAATGGAGGTGATGAGTGTTTGTCATGAACCTCAATGGAAAGAAGAAGAACTGGGCTTAGCTGTATACATGTACCTTTCATTTTGTGTTGTAATAGATCATTTTAAAATGTTGCATTTTCCTTTTCACTTGCTGTTTTTTCTTTTGTACATTTTGGTGGTGTTTTTACTCCTCATTCTCTAGTACTGGAGCTAATGAGACAATACTAACCATAACCATAGATGATTTTAGCTTCTCAAACACTCAACATGTGACTTTTCTGTTCTGGATGTTGCTCAATTAGCTTTTTGCAAATACTTTATTGCTGTTGTCAACTTTGGGTAGGTGATGTATTCAACAAGCAATTCCTCAGCAACATGACATTTCTGAACAGATAAAATGCTTTGGATCTGTTAGAATTAAGTGTCTGTGATTAATATTTAGGTCACTAGCTAAGTTCCTGCAGGGATTCCCAAACTGTGGTTCGGGATGGCTGGTCACATGATGCTGATGCTCTTTCTTATTTGTGGTGGCCACATCCAATCTAAAGAAGTCAATAATCCATGAGCTGCTTTCATAATGTTTCTTTTCCATGGGGATATTGCCATAAGGGGAGAGTAGTCTGATCTATGCAGTCCTGAGTTGACTGGGTCGACAGAGCCAGTCTTTCAATTATTAGGATGTGTTGTGCACTATACGGGACTTTGAGCCCATGATCACCTGTGTAACACAGCTATTTTTATAATTGTCCATGGCTCTGAGTGGGAGCACATTTGTGAATTAAGGATAAGATATTCAAAGGGGCCAAACAGTGGTTAGTACCCAAATCTCTTTGATTTTTTTTTTTAATGGTCATTAATTTCTAAGAGCATGTCTACACATGTAGGGGTGTGACTGTACATGTGCAGCAGCAAGTTTGTGCTGGTACTTTTTGCTGCTGTGCAAACCCCTATTCATGTGCTTTGGTGTGGGGCAAAATGCCCCATTTCGGGGAAACTGCTGTTTCTCCATTCCTTCAGGTTCCCGGTATGCTGAAGGAGTCAGGGAAGAGCTAGAGGAGGGGAAACACTTGCGCTGGCAGCCAGAGTGTCTCCTGGTAGTCTGCTGGTGCATGCTCCTGTGCCATGTGTCGCACCATTTTTTTTTGCTGGGTTTTTTTTGGGGTGTTTTTATTTTGTCAGGATTTCCTGATAGCAAATTTTGCCCCCATGCTGCAAATTTACAGCACAGGGCACATTTTCATGTGCCAGGTATGCAGTTTGTGATGCCACAAAGAGGTTTGCAATGCCACAAACTGCACATGCCTGCAGGTCTGGATCTGGCCTAAAGTGCTAATATTTTTCCAGATTTACCGCTCAGTTTGCTAAAGGCTGAAGTTCTAACATTTTTATTTTCTTTGGGAATAGGAAAGTTGGCTAGCAAGGTTCACCTTTACTATCAATATTCCTTTCTTGGATGTTGTGCAGCTTTTCCTACCCTGAAGATTGCAAAGTGCCTTTATCAGTCTTATTAACACACCTCTGAGTTAGTGGCTTTCTCAGGAGTTAATGGGATCTGTTCCTTCACATACAAATACTCTTTCTTAATTTTGTCTTTCCAGATCCAGGCAGTGTCTTGAATTCATTATCATCCCCAGGAGTTAGTAAATTTTCTGCACTATCTACAAATACCTGCTGGGTTGTAATTTTCTTGTCTCACAGGTTTCTAAGTCAAACTAATTTCAATTGCATTCAAATTTTATTAGTAATAGGCCTAAGTCCTGCCACTTATGGGAAGGCACATACTAATTCCATATTCTTTATAATTTTATGCATCCTTTTATGGATTTTTATTATTCTTGTTTGTGGTTTATATTTTTTGTTTAAAAAAATAGCAGATCAACATGTTTCTTTTTTTTTTTAATTTTCTGCATAGAAAGACCAACTTGGCAGAAAAAGAAACACTTTAAAACGATCAATTTTTTTTATAGAAAATAATAACTGGACAGTAAGATGGTGAGAGAGAAATTATATATTATGATTATAGAATTGATTTCTCTCCTCCTTTCTCTCTTTCATTATTGCTTATTCACATTTTTACATGACCTACTGAATGATCTAAAATTGTGGTCTGAACTAATTGTCTGAAAGGCTGTCTCCTTTCTGTGCCCAGTTCTTGCAGTTGTTATTGGCTGGAGTGTATTTGAAGTCAATGTTTGTGGAAAACATTATAATATTTCTCACCTATCTGGGTAGATTTCTAGGCCTTTGCAAGACTGTGTTGCTGGGGTAGTTCACTGGCTTTGGAACAAACTCCTACTCCCAATTCTGTTCTTGGACATTTTCAGGATGCAGTGTACAGCATACCTTTTTCATTTATCTTTCTACTGATTGTGGTTGCAGGTTACTTGCTACTGAATTAGTTTATCTTTATTAGTGTCTGTTTTAATTCTATAATGTTATCCAGGGACTAAATGGATGAGGACAGGCTAAATGTTGTAGTAATTCTCCCTTAATATTTCAGCAAGCCTATGGCCAAGTCCATTTGGCCATGACCTCATAATATCCTTGGCGCAGGCCCCAGCCCCATATTTGCCAGCTGCTAAATTGTTGCAAACTTGTTTGTTTTTGGTTTTCTCCAGCTGTTGAATTTCTGGAGAAAACTAAGCAGTTTGTTTTTCTGGTTCTTTGGTCTTTTATCACAACAATTTGAATACCAACAAAAACTCATCTTCAAGGAAGCACTCAGTGTGATCCTATGGGTTCAGGTGGCAAAGAGAATAAAGGAGGGCAGATTTTTGCCTAATGAGATTTTTGCAGGTGGAATAACCAAAATTCCTCAGGCACACTCACTCCAATCAATATAAGGTGTCCTTGGAGCTCTGCCCAGTATCAGATCTTGCATCTCATTACAGCTGTGTGGGAAAAGCTTTCCTGTCTCTCAAATATTTTGAACACCTCAAACTTCTTGCATTTGCTTCAAAAGGAAGCCAACATCTTTCCAAACTTTTCACATGGAGAGACTCATAAAATAACTAATAGTCCAGTGGTTACTCACCTGGGATGTTGGAGAGCCACACTGAATTCTCTACATAACCTGACTCAGAATAATGACTTGAGTCTGATCTCCCACGTTCCTGGTGAGTGCCATAGGCACCAGTCTCTCGTGATCTTTCACTAAATTAATATTTAATCATTTATACCTGGTAGAACAACTTCAGAAGGAGAGATTCAGGGAACCCTCTGAAGGCCACACCATAACTTGCTGTTTAGGACATTCACCAGGAAGTGAGTCAAGCAATACAAAAATCAGGTAATGCAGGTACTTATAACTAAGTACCTATATCTCAGGTGAATGCCCTAATCATTGGGGCAGTGGCTTTTCTCTCTTGGGTCTCTCCTTGTTTTTGACCAGATATTCCATCCTTTCTTTTTTCATTGAAACTGATGCTAAAAGCTTTTGGCTTCTAGTAACTGGCATTTTTCTGACAAGAAATATTATGTTGAAAAAAATTCCACCCTGTTCCACATCTAGGAAATCCTGTTCTCCTGCACATGTAGTCTTTGAGCAGCTCTCAACAAGAATGAGATCAAGGTACTGAAAAATGATTCCAGGACAGTTCAGAGTTAGCTTCTCAAGTCAAGATAGATAAATCTAAAAAAAATTTAAAAAATCTTAGCAATCAGTCAGAGAAGAAATCCTACCCTGAGAAGGGAAGTGAAAGTTCAGCAGTATGACATTCAGGTTAGGTCTATGCTGTTTACAGAACAGCTTGCTGATTCATACTACATCTCCACACATGGGCGACTGGTGCCACCTTAGTCAGGGGGAGCAGATGCCCCACCCCAGCTACCAGTCAGGGACTGGGGGGGGCGTCCCCACAAGGCCAATCTCAGCAACTGGGGTGGTGTCCCCTCACGGCCAATCACACTGACCAAAAAGCAACCACAGTGCTCCCAGAAGTGGCCATGGTGCTACATCCGGTGCTCCCACTCCCCGCCTGGTGCTCACAGGGAGGGCACACTGCTGCTCCCACCTGTCCCCCTGCCCATCACCTAAGCGGGGAGCATGGCCTGTCGGGGTGCACCAGTGCTCTCAAGGGGTGCATGTGCACCCCTGTGCACCCTCTATGTGTCACCACTGTCTCCACATGGAGCAGGGTCAGAGTAGCCCTGGCTGGCATGGGGCCCCGGGGGTCAGCCTGCCAGCCCAGGGCTGCTCCCCAACCCCAGCTCAATGTGCTATGGAGGGGCTGGCTGGGGCATGAGTGTGCTTCAGTGTGGGCAGCCCGTACACTGAAGCACCCTCGTTCCCCAGCCAGCTGGGGCAACATCTACTTGTGCTCTGCTGCTGGGTAAAAAAACTCCGCAGCAGGATGGTACTTATATTTAAATGGCTAATTAATCTATTACGCAGTAAATATCTCATGTAGGCATGCCCAGTGAGACTTAATTCAGAACCAACTCGATTGTTCAGAACAGTAATTCTGTTATAAAATACCCAGATGAACATATCTCTTATTTTTGGCCCTCTATGCACCTTTTCAGAGATACAAATAAGTTCACTCTAGAAAAATCCTGGATGTCAAGGACATAATAAAAGACAGTAAGAAGCCCTTATATGATCTGGTTTGGTAGCATCTGGTCTTCTCTGTAATGGGGAAGGTACAGGTGTTGCGGATCAAAAATAAATAGACTGTCTGAGTTGTGATGCTTTGGGAATGAGCTTAATCCCTTCTACAGGATATTCCTGATAGCATGCTTATGAACCTGAAGACTTAAAATATGTCTGCATGTTAAAGTGGGAATAATGAGCACTAAACTAGAGAGATTTTTAGCTAGGGGGTGCGGGATCTATATTTCTAGATATCACATCTGTTTTGTAAAATGAATGATTCAACAATGTTATATAAATAAATAATATTCTATATGTACAAGAATATATAGATAGCCTGGTTACTTTATTAATAATGCAGACACGTTATTATTCACACAACCAAGCGGAAAGTGATAAATGCTCTCAAATTCTGAAATACACAGTTTATATAGTTTTGATGCCATAAAATAATTATCATTACTACTCTTGAAGAAAAAATAGTTCTGGAAGCATACAAACAAAGTAAAATTTGTATTGTACTTTGATAGAAGGTTTATTATCGGTTTTTATTATAGATTTAGAAAGGAATATAAATGCACATAGTGATTTGTAAATAAATCCAATGACAAATGGAAATGCCTGCTCTGAAGAATTTACTAGATGAAATTTATCCAGAAACTGTCTTTAAGAATATTTCTTGTTGTTGTTGTTGTTTTTTGTAGTGGTCAGCCCATTCCCAGGGTGGAGTACACAGCTGAAGAAATTAAAACTTGGGGAGTTGTGTTCAGGGAACTAACTAAACTCTATCCCACTCATGCTTGCCGTGAATATTTAAAAAATTTCCCTTTACTCACCAAATACTGTGGTTATAGAGAAGATAATGTGCCTCAGCTGGAAGATGTTTCTATTTTTCTTAAAGGTAAGGTTCTTGTTTGGTTCTTTTACAGCTATGGTATTACGAGAACATTGTTTCCTCTTAACACCAGAAGGAAAGCATATTGAATGGAACAATACCTATTAATGTCAATAGCATTTAGATCAGGCAAATCAAATTAACCTCTCTTGGAAATGTTTTCCATGGGAGAAAAATTGCTGGAGTTAATTCGTTGTTTGAATCCTCATGTATAAAGTTAAGAGGGATGATTTGGTACCACCCCTGAATGAGTCTGCCTTCCACACACACTGAAGGAAAGGTATTCTAGAATGGAGTGAGGTCTTGTAGTATGATAGCGAGTGGAGAGCACAGCCAGCCACACCACTGTAATGATCTCAGTATGGGAACTCTGTGCTTTTCCTGTAACTCCTCTAAGAGCGGGGGAAGAATAAAATGTTGAGACAATATTGTTTAAAGACAGCTTCAGGCTTAGTAATCTCTGATCTTTATGTTCAGTTCTTGCCTCTGTTAAGCATGAGGCCTTCTTAAAGACCTTATGAAGAATCAAACATGTAGTTACAAAGGCTAAACACAAGAGGGCTGTAAGTGCACTTTGTCAAAGTGAAATAGTAACTGGAGACAGAAATATGCAAACCAACCACCTACCTCGGTTTTATTTGGAGCATGACCCCTGGCTCGTCGTTCATCATGTTGCTTCTATCCATGCAAAAGCTTACTAATAGTTGAAATGCACATACCAGGTTTGTTTCCATATTCTCAAATGATCTTTTGCAGCATTTCCATACAATCTTGACCTTCCTGTTTTGGAGTTTCAGACCTATCTTATGTACACTGGAGTCCTATTGAGTCCTATTGAGTCCCAAGACCCCAGTCATTCAGTGAGCTCCAGGTGGATGGGACTCAATAGGACTCCACAGGCGTAAAGGGGATCTCCCTGATGTTCAGCAAAGGATCAGTGCCTACATGATTATCTGATTTTGAAAAGGTCCATCACAAATACTTCGCATGCTCTTGTCTGTTGGGTTAGGAGCAGCCAGTCACCGCATTTTCTCTTAATGTTCATTCTCCTCAAAAGTCCCTTGAGATTTTCAGCTACATTAGCTTCTTGTGCTCTCTTGTCAAATCCTAGGAGCCCAAATTAGAATGTCACGAGAACATTAAGAAAAGGAATTCGTTTTGGTGCTTCAATTCCCAACAGGGGAAAACATTAAGAATGTTGTCCTCAGTGTAGAAGGGAGAGTTTTAACTACAAGAAATGTGTTTGGGATGAAAGATTAACTTACCCTATTCCCTTTTGCTCTGCTTCATCCTCACTTCTTATAGTTTCATAGTTTCTAGGGTCGGAAGGGACCT